CATAGTGATAGTCTTAGTGTAACTGTTGCATCTGAGCTTGATTCAATTCAAACAGAAAACATGGGTGAACAACCTTATAATAGACCCCGTGAGAGGACTCTTAGGGAGATGGTTGCACCTGATTTTACTTATGAGAGTTTGTGCATTCAATATTCTGAAGAAGATGTTCCTTTTGTTCTTAAAACTGGACTAATCCATTTGTTGCCCAAGTTTCATGGTCATGTAGGTGAGGATCCACATATACATCTGAAGGAGTTCCATATTGTTTGTTCTACCATGAAACCTCCTGATGTTCAAGAGGATCACATTTACCTGAAGGCATTTCCACATTCATTGGAGGGAGTTGCTAAAGATTGGCTGTATTATTTAGCTCCCAGGTCCATCACTAGCTGGGATGATCTAAAAAGAATGTTTCTGGAGAAATTCTTCCCTGCCTCGAGGACCACTGCAATCAGAAAATATATATCTGGTATCAGGCAACTTGGTGGAGAGACTTTGTATGAGTACTGGGAGAGATTCAAGAAGTTGTGTGCAAGTTGTCCTCACCACCAGATTTCTGAGCAGTTGTTGCTGCAATATTTCTATGAAGGCCTGAACAACATGGAGAGGAGTATGATAGATGTTGCAAGTGGTGGAGCACTTGGTGACATGACCCCAGCTGAGGCCAGGCACTTGATAGAAAAAATGGCCTCCAACTCTCAACAATTTAATACCAGAAACGACAATGCAATTGTCATCAGAGGAGTTCATGATGTGGCCACTGATGCAGATAAAAAGCTAGAGAGTAAACTTGATGTATTGGTCAACCTGGTGACTCAACTTGCTGCAAATCAAAAATCTACATCTGTAGCAAGGGTCTGTGGCCTTTGTTCTTCAATTGATCATCACACAAATATATGCCCTTCTCTACAACAGTCAGGAGTAAATGAGCATCCAGAGACATATGCTACAAATATTTACAACAGACCTCCTGTCCAACAACAACAACAGCAGAGTTATGACCTCTCCAGCAATAGGTACAATCCAGGTTGGAGAAATCATCCCAATCTCAGATGGTCTAACCAACAGCAATAACAACAACAGCCATTCCCTCCCTTCCAAAATAATGTTGGTCCTAGCAGATATGTGCCTCCCCCTATCCAACAGCAGCAACAGAGACAACATGAAGCTCCTGCACCATTAGCTCCTCAACCTTCTACTTCTAAACCTTCATTGGAGGAGTTAGTGAGGTAGATGACTCTTCAAAATATGCAATTCCAGCAAGAGACCAGAGCTTCCATTCAGAGCTTGACCAATCTGATGGGGCAGATGGCTACTCAACTCAATCAGGCACAGTCTCAAAATTTAGATAAGTTTCCTTCACAGATTGTGCAGAATCCAAAAAATGTGAGTTCCATCACATTGAGGTCAGGGAAACAGGTTGACATACCCACTGCAGCACCTCCACCTCCATCTACACCTGTGCCAGTACCAATTCCAGCATCTGCACCTGAGCAAAATGATGAACCAGTTGGTGCCCAAAATTTTCATACAGGTGGACCTTCTTCCAGCACCAATTCTGATTTGCAGCAGCCTCGTATCCCTCTTCCATTTCCTCCTAAATTGATTCCAGGCAAAAAGATGGAGAGGTGGATAAGGAGATATTGGAGACCTTCAGGAAGGTGGAGGTGAACATACCTCTGCTGGATGCCATCAACCAAATTCCCAGATATGCTAAGTTCCTTAAAGACTTGTGCACCCACAAGAGGAAGCTGAAGGGAAATGAGCGAAACAGCATGGGAAGAAATGTCTCAGCACTCATAGGTAAATCTGTTCCACACATTCCTGAAAAGTGTAAAGACCCAGGTACATTTTGTGATGGCATCCTTAGATCCCATCAGATAGGCACCATGGAAATGAAGTACCCATTGCATCAAATGTAGAGATTGACAGAGATGAAGAAATGATGCCAAATGCATCTGAAGAAAGGTGTGAAGCTGACGAGTTTTATGAATTAGCAAGAGATGGGGAACAACCCTTGTACGAAGGGTGCACAAAGTATTCAAGATTGTCCTTTTTGGTGAAGTTGTATCATATCAAATGCCTTTGTGGAATGAGCGATAAGGCCATGAAAATGATTTTAGAACTTCTGAAAGATGTCTTTAAACACGCAAATATTCCAAGTTCATTCTACGAGGCAAAGGAAATAATCAACAAGCTGGGTTTGAACTATGAAAAGATACAAGCATGTTCGAATGATTGTATGCTTTACTGGGGCAACAGGGAAGATGAAGAAAAGGAGACATGCAAAGTTTGTAACACTTCAAAATGGAAATCAAGGGCAAAAACAAATAAGTCTAGGTTATTTGGTGATGACAATAGTATGAAGAAAGTGCCTGCAAAAGTACTTCATTACTTTCCATTGAAACCCTGATTACAAAGATTGTTTTTGTTATCAAAGTTAGCTGAGGATATGAGATGGCATGTTAACAATAGTAATAATGATGTAATGATGAGGCATCCTAGAGATTCTGAAGCTTGGAAGCGATTTGACTTGACGCACCCTTGGTTTGCATCTGATTCACGAAATGTGCGTCTTGCATTAGCTACTGATGGTTTTAATCCTTTTGGTGTTATGAGTTCAAGTTATAGCATTTGGCCTGTAATTCTCATTCCATACAACACTCCACCATGGGTATGCATGAAGCAAACATCTTTTATAATTTCAATGATAATCCCTGGTAAAAAGATGCCAGGAAATAATAAAGATGTCTACCTACAACCTTTAATCAAAGAGTTGAAGGAGTTATGGACAATAGGTGTGGATGCGTATGATTCTTTCAAGCGAGAAATGTTCTAATTACATGCAGCTTTAATGTGGACGATTAATGATTTTCTTGGGCTAGGAACACTTTCTGGGTGGAATACTTACACCGGACTTGCTTTCCCATCTTCTAACTTTGACTCTATTCCCTGTCGTCTTCCTTATAGTAAGAAATAGTGTTTCATGGGTCATCGTCGCTTTCTTGATCAGAAACACAAATTTAGATTGAACAGGATCCGCTTTAATGGTGAGCGATATCTACGTAGTTGATCGAAAGCATTATCTAGTTCTGAAATTCTTGAACAAGTTCAGAATATTAATGTCACATTTGGTAGAATACCAGTGCAAGAAGGGACAAGAAAAAGAACTTGAGGTGGACATCTTCCACAAAGTAGCACTCAATAGTGGAAAAAGAAAAACATATTTTTGAACTTCCATATTGGAAGGATAATTGTTACGTCACAATCTTGACATGATGCATATTGAGAAGAACGTGTGTGTAACACCCTAGTTTTTATTTCACTTTTTATTTATTTTAATTGAGGGTATTTTGGTAATTTTATAAAGGTATAGGGGTGATTTAGTAGCTTGGAACGGGCTGTTCCGGAATTGGAACGGGCCGTTCCAAACTACCAAAAGGTATGTGATTTAGTAGCTTGGAACGGGCTGTTCCAAAATTAGAACGGGTCGTTCCGGACTATTAAAAACTACTTTAAACTTTAAGTGGGAACGGGCTCGGAACGGGCTATGGCAGTTGTGAGTAATAAATGCACACCAGAACGGGCCGTTCTGGTTTGAGACCGGGCCATTCTGGGTGTGATTTTTACCCATGATTGTAGGGTCCAGAACGGGCCATTCCGAATTTGGAACGGGCCGTTCCGGCACCCTTCTGATGCCTATAAATAGACAGCTTGGGCAAAGTTCTCAGGGGCCTCAAAAATTTTGTCCAAGACTCCTTAGAGCTCGAAATTTCTTTTTTACTTTCTACTTCAGACCGAGGGGAACCCAGCGTGGGTGATCAACCAGATCTTGTGTAGGTTCAGCTTCTACATTACGGGGGAAAAGGGGATTATTTATACATAGAGTTACATGAGGGAATTGGGTAGAGGAATAGCCCTTAGGATTATGAGAAATTTTATAATTATTTTTGTTTGGAGAATTATTGGTCTCATTTGATTCTGTATATATTTAGGACTATGAATATACGATTTATTTGTAAAAATGATGCTCTGGGAGCGAGAACGAAATTATAGAAAAGTGCCTGTAAGTTAGGTTTTGAAAAAATTAGATTATTTCTGTTTGAGGAATTAATGATACCATTAGATTCTTTATGTATTGAGGATTAGAAATATATATTTAATTTGTAAGAATGATGATTTGGGAGAGAGAACGAAATTGTAGAAAAGTGCCTGTGAGCTAGGTTTTAGAATAATTGGGGGTTTTACCGTTTATGTTAAAATTATATTAAATTGATAATTCTATTGATTATTTTATGAATGTTATTCTTATATTAATTCATAAGAATTGATGATCTAGATGTGAATTGCTTGAGGGGTGTGTAAACCCTTATTTTGTTTGACTTATCTGTTATGTATGTGATATGGAATTGTGCATGGAATTGAGATATGAGATGGGATGTTGTGTGGATATGATTATGACTATGATTGTGGTACCTCACACTAATGACCAGGGATGAGACGAACCTTGAGTAGTGATGCTTCAAGGACGAGCGTGCCCCTGGCATAGTGTGGGATGAGTGAGACAATTAACACGCATCACTTGTGTCAAATATGGAAGCCTTGGTATAGGGTTAATTGCAAGAGATTGTGTGGATTGTGATGTGATTGTGGTTCCTCACACTAATGACCAGGGATGAGACGAACCTTGGGTAAGTGATGTTACAAGGACGAGCGTGCCCTTGGCATGGTGTGGGATGAATGAGGCAATTAACCCGTATCATTTGTGTCAGTTGTGGCGTGGTCTGGACATAGTGTTAATTGTAAGATTTATATGGATTGTGATGGACTGATGTAATTGTGAATTGAGATGTGAAAATGATGAATGATTGATAAATTACATAAATTCTTTTAAATGTTTCACTAAGTAATGAGTTATGATGAGATTACACTGTGGTTTGTTTGTATGTACTTTGCATATAGATATTTTCTTTTCTCATCGTATAAATTGTGGATTTTTTAGGTGAGGAGGATCCAGCTACGAGTGGCATCTAGAATGACAACAGTTGATTTGTGGGTATGCTCTGATATTGTGACATCGGGGCAGAGGATTCTTTTAGGACATAGATCTTTTTATATGGATTTGGATTGTAATTATTATTTTTTAAAACAATTTGTAAACTCTTGCATTTCATTTTTATTATTGTGGCTACTGAAGAATAATTTTGAAGATTCTCATGTGAACCCTTTTACCAAAATTGAAAAATTTATTTGTAAGTTTTCATTATTACAATATATGTGTTGGGGTAGTAAGGGTGTCACAGTGTGCGACAATGTCATATATACTTTGTTAAATGATAGTGTAAAGAAAAAAGACAATGTTAATGCGAGAAAATACTTGCAAGCTATGGGTATTAGACCTGAACTTTGGCCAAATGAACATGGAAAATATCCTTTAGCTATCTTTACATTAACTAATAGAGGAAAGAAGGCATTTCTAACAACTCTAAAGAATATCACCATGCCAGATGGTTATTCTAGCATCATTTCTAGATGCATTGACTTAGATAACCTTAAATTTAATGGAAAGTTGAAAAGTCATGATTCTTATGTATTGATGGAGAAATTCCTACCATTAGCCATGCGAACAACATTTCCTGATGAGGTTTCAACAATATTAATTGAGTTTTTCTCATTCTTCAGACAATTATGTGGTAAATTAAAAATTGAAGATTTAGACAAATTGCAAAATCAAATTGTCTCCACTTTATGCCACATGGAAATGTTGTTTCCTCCTTCATTCTTCATTGTTATTGTTCACTTAGTTGTTCACCTTGTTGAAGAAGCCAAGCTTGGAGGTCTTGTTCATTATCGATGGATGTATCCTATAGAAAGGTAAAAAATGTGTGTTAGTGTTTCTTTTTATTTTATCATTTTAGTAATAAAACACATTCATCTAAATAAAATTGATTATGGCTTAATAATAGGTACTTGGGGCAACTAAAATCTTATGTACGTAATAAAGCACAACCGGAAGGCTCTATAGCAGAAGGCTACCTTGTGCGAGAGATTCTTACATTTTGTTCAAGGTATTT